ATATATAAAAAAAATACTGATCCTGCCGGGCGCTGGTGGCTCACGCCTGTAATCCTAGCCTTGAGCTGAAGAGCTGAAGGACAGCGCCCAGGCCCAGAGTTCAAGCCCCACTACCGACCAAAAAAAAAAAAAAATACTGATCCTATACACAATGGAATTTTCAGAGTCATTAGAAAGAATAATATGTAATTTGCAGGGAAATGGATGGACCTAGAAAAAAATCATGTTCAGTGAGGTAAGCCAAGCTTAGAGAGACAAATAGCACATGTTTCTCTCATATACAAAAGCTAGATCTAAAATATACAATAAATTACACAGGACTCTAGACCTTCACACACACAGACCAAAGGAGGATACTCAGGAGAAGAACACAAAGGAGTAATGCCTCTGATCATATAAAATAATATTTATCAAAATCAACTCCAGGAAATGGAAACTAGAAGTTTTTTTGGTTTTTTGTTTTGTTTTGCTCTCTTTTGTTTTTTGCCAGTCGGAGGACTTAAACTTAGGGCCTGAGCACTGTCCCTGAACTTCTTTTGCTCAAGGCTAGTACTCTAGCACTTGAACCACAGCACCACTTCTGACTTTTTCTGTTTATGTGGTACTAAGGAATCGAACCCAGGGTTTCATGCATGCTAGGCAAGCACTTACCACTAAGCCACATTCCCAGCTGATGGTTATTATTATTATTGTTGTTGTTGTTGTTTACAGAAATGATGAACAGAGGGGTTACAGTTAAATAAGTCAGGTAATGTGTACATTTCTTTTTGGAAAATGTCACCCCGTCTCTGCCAGGTTTTCCCTTCCATTCCCACCCACAAATTCAATAGTTCATTTTCAAAATAGTGTCTAGGGAGTACCACCGCTGCATTTCCTCACTCTTTGTCCCTCAGGCATCTTTTGAAAGTGTCTGATTCAGAAAAATGATTTTTAAAATTGTCTCTTTAAATTGAATTTAATACGTCAAGTGTAGTGGTGCATGTCTGTAATCCTAGAACTTGGGGGGGGAGGGGCTTGACATACATTCTTTTAAAACTACAGATCATCTTAGGGTTCAACTCAAATTTTAGGATTCAGTTCTCATCATGGCTTAGTTCTAGCTTTCTCATTTCCTTTACAGAATCCAATGACTTGAAAAACAACTGGTGTCAACCATAAACCCATGTGTATAGGTCCGAAGGATGCTCTTAAGAGAGGAGAGCCCCTGTGTTTCCCTAGTTCTCTTGGATTCCATTCTTGCTCTCCCATCCTCTGTTCTTCAGATTTTCAACTTGGATGACAGAATTTTGTCTCAGTATTGTTCTAAAAAGAAGCTATGAAGTTAAAGAGAATAAAAATATTTGATAAATTATTTTTAAATTGACAGGCATGGTAGTTCACAACTGTAAACCCATCTACTCAAAGATCAGAAGGATCATGGTTCAATGTCAGCCCTGGCAAGAAGTGAGACTCCATTTCAACAAAAAAGCATAGAGGCACATGCCTGTTATTCCAGCTGTGCGGGAGGTGTAAGTAAGAGGACTCACTCAGGAGGACTGGGGAGAAAATGTGAAAGCCTACTTTGGGACCTCCCAAGAGGGCATGAATCTTAAAGCCTTTCAAAAACAGTATCTTAGGGGGCCTGTGTCATGAGAGGAGCCAGTGGCATTCACACTTTGAAGAAGAGCTACTGGGTCTGTCCTGGCACAGAAGAGGGTCTAGGGCAGCCAGCAGCCAAGTCATATTCCACTCCTGGAATTTCAGGGGAAAAAAATATGTAAGAAAAAAATCACTAAGGAAAAGGTCTGGGAAGCCGGGCATCAATGGCTCATGCCTGTAATCCTAGCTACTCAGGAGGCTGAGATCTGAGGATCACAGTTCAAAGCTGGCCCAGGCAGCAAAGTCTGTGAGACTCTTATCTCCAATAAACCACTAGAAAACCAGAAGTGGTGCTGTGGCTCAAGCGGTAGAGCGCTCGCCTTGAGCTGAAGAGCACAGGAACAGCGCCCAAGCCCAGAGTTCAAGCCCCAGGACCGACCAAAAAGAAAACAAGAAAAAGAAAAGAAAAAGGTCTGGGGGCTGGGAATGTGGTAGAGTGCTTGTCTAACATGCATGAAGCCCTGGGTTTGATTCCTCAGCTGGAAGTGGCACTGTGACTCAAATGGTAGAGTGCTAGTGCTAGAGTGCTACCCTTGAGCAAAAAGCTCTGGGACAGTGCCCAGGGCCTTAGTTCAATCCCCAGCACTGGCAAAAAGAAAAGAGAGAGGGGGGGAGGGAGGGAGGGAGGGAGGAAAAAGGAGAAGGAAGGAAGGAAGGAAGGAAGGAAGGAAGGAAGGAAGGAGAAGGAAAGAGCGGGAAAGAGAAAGAGAGAGAGAGAAGACAAAGAACTAGAGGTAGAGGTAGAGTACCTGCCTTGCAAGCATAAAACCCTGAGTTCAAACCCAATACTACTAGAAACAAGTAAATATAAATAAGTATAAATAATTATTTTGGTTGTTTTCAACACATAGGATCCAAGAGCATGCTATGTTAACATCGAAACTATGAAAAGAATTGAGAGGAGGGATCCAGATCTTCAAAGTGACTTTCTAAGGTTAAAGTGAGAATGGCTTTACAAAACACACAGAAAATAATAAAAACAGACAGGCTGATCCATCAAGGATAAAATAAATAAGAATATTTTATTAAATTGTTGAAGGTACTAATAGTCAGCTGTAGAGTTAAATATCATCTCTTCTATGTCATTTACAATGAAATACAACAGAGAAGAATAAAGTGCATTACAAATCCAACACCACAAGGTGTTAAGATTTTGGAATATGAGTGAACATGTGTCTTGCGCAGTTACAACTTTTACTTGTACTTCACACAAACAAACCATTGCCCCACAAATCATTCTACAAATACACACTTGTAAAAATAGAACAGGAGTCTTGTTGGGGATTCTGTTTCTTTAGGCTTGATAATTGGCAAAACAAAGAAAATGTTAGTAAATCACCACATAGGGAAAGGAAACTTTGGGACCTCCCAAGAGGGCATGAATCTTTTTTTTCTTTTTCTTTTTTTAAATAAGTTTATTTATTTATTTTTTTGACAGTTGTGGGGCCAGCTCTTCAGACAGTTGTGGGGCCAGCTCTTCAGCTCAGGGCGAGCTCTCTAACCTCTTGAGCCACAGCACCACTTCCGGCTTGTTTTTGTTTGTTTGTTTGTTTGTTTTGCTTATGTGGTGCTGAGGAATTGAACCCAGGGCCTCATGCATGAGAGGCAAGCACTCTACCACTGAGCCACCTTCCCAGCCCGAGTGCTGGGAAAACAGTATCTTAGGGGGCCTGTGTCATTCAAACCAGTGACATTCAAACTTTGAAGAAGAGCTACTAGGCCTGTTCTGGCACAGATGAGGGTCTAGGGCAGCCAGCAGCCAAGTCATATTCCACTCCTGGAGTTTTCAGGGGGGGAAATATGTAAATATGCAAGTGTAGCATTAAAGGCTAAACTTACAAGAAAAGAGGTAGAGAAGAAATTCCAGATATACTTCTGTCTGGAAGCAGATAATAATAAGGCTGTCTATCCTTACTGAATTGAATCAGTATACCCTGGGGAGCCATGACTCTCCCTTTAAGCAAACACAAAATTAGCCAGATTCAAACTCAGAAAGCAAGTACTTAAAAATGCTGGTTGTCTAAAGGTTTATATGGTAGACAGCCAGCACTGTCTAAATCTTATAGAAGATACGAAGAGGCTAGGAGAAAGTAAACTAGAAACAAACTAAGACACAATTCTTGACTGTTTGGAATTTCAAATCTGTTCTGGTTTCTATACAAGAATTAATATATTAAATAACAGTTAGTAAAGTGCATAGTCAATGCGTAAAGTGCTGCCGGTTATGAAAAAACGTTAATGTACTTTTAAGATACCTATCTTCAGAATAATACATGTTTTTAAAGGCTGTTTTTGGAGAGGTAAAGTGGATGCTAAGAGGGTGGAATGAAGATTTTTTATGATCTGTTATTGGAGCATTTGAATATTAAACCACGGAAGAGTATGGATTCAAATTTTAACAGCATTTAAATAAAAAAGAGCTACTAAGGAATACTAGACACTATACACAAAACATAGATTGTGCAACAAAAACAAATAAATCAGGGGTAAATATAATGCTAGCAAAGGAGCCCAAGCATTGTTTTCCATAGACTTTTAAGTACTGACTTCTCATAAACTAAAACTCTTTTGATTATTAACAGGTTTGAATACATCTAACAGATACTTGGTCTACCTCACATCTATATACTCAATGCCTGGCACATGGCAAGGCATAATTTAATATGCCAAAATTCTTTTTGTTTGTTTGTTTGTTTTTTTGGGTCCAGTTGTGGGACCTGAACTCTGGGCCTGGGCGCTGTCCCTCAGCTCTTCAGCTCAAGGCTAGTGCTCTACCACTTGAGCCACAGCGCCACTTCCAGCTTTTTTCTTTTTGCTTATGTGGTGCTGAGGAATCGAACCCAGGGCCTCATGTATGCAAGGCAAGTGCTCTACCACTGAGCCACCTTCCCAGCCCCAAATATGCCAAAATTCTTAATAAATAGGTTTTGGATGAATACATTTCTCAAAGCCCAGCTGTAAATTGTATTCAGAAAAGACAGTATGTACATTATGGAAATCTGAGGGCTGCTATTTGCTTCTGTGGGCAAGTGTCTTAATCATTCTGCATCCTTAGTTACAAGATAAATATAGTAGAGCCGGGCACCAGGGGCTCACGCCTGTAATCCTTAGCTACTCAGGAGGCTGAGATCTAAGGATCTTGGTTCAAACCCAGCCCAGGCAGGAAATACTGTGAGACTCTTATCCCCTATAAACCACTAGAAAACTGGAAGTGGTGCTGTGGTTCAAGCAATAGAGCACTCGCCTAGAGCTGAAGAGCTGAGGGACAGCGCCCAGGCCCAGAGTTCAAGCCCCATGACCGACAAAAAAAAAAAAAAAAAAAATATATATATATATATATATATATATATATATATAATATAAGATAAATATAGTGATAGCTGTTGCCATAGTAGGAGTATTAATCAGGATGAAATGAGATTGTGTAGCTACGGTACTACATCGTTGTAAAGCTGATATTTAAATAGGGCAGACACTGTGATAGAGACTTGAGGTGTGAGAATAAGATGATTCATGTTAACCTAAACATCAGTGGGTTAAATAACGTAAGATCGCACATACCTAGGGGTTGCTCTTTATCCTTCCTCTTTGTAATAACAGTTCCTCATGGTACCAAGCACCTAATAAATTTGATGGCAACATTTTCACATTTACTACAAAGTAGCCTCAAAATAAATCATTAACAACCACATTCCCATGATGAAAAGACCCCCACACACACCAAAAAAAATCCAAACAACTCAAATAGTCTTCTAATCCTTGAACTTCCGGTCCCTACAAGAGGGATTTGGGCACTGAGTAGAGGCAAAGGGCATTTCTGCAAGAACTGACCATTAAATCAGGGATTCTCAGCCCACTCTCCTAACAAGTGATGGGCCACATGCAGGGAGGCTCCTCACTCAAGAGTGTTGGCTTTCCCTTTGCAAGGCACCAATGAGGCTCTCCGTTGCTTTGAAGTCTCAGGGTTTCCTCCCAGGTTCCAGCTTTCTTCATTCTCTCTGTTTTCCCCTGGTTCCACATTCAGAGCTTTGGCCTTTAAGTCCAACATCATCTGGATCCCACAGGCCCTCTCATTTGTGAACTTCCAAACTCTAAGCTAAGAATCCCTCCTTGAAGATCAGAAGTTCAATGATGATTATGTCTCCTCAAACTGTGTGTCTGGAGAATGATGACAGTATATTAATTTTATTAGGCATTATAGGGGGAAAAGGTAAAACCAACTCAATCTGTCATACCATACAACAGTAAGAGAATGAGGTAAAACATATTTAAGCCCTGTTACCCTTACATGATAAAAGATAACTAACCATTCTGGTTTATCCAAGATTGTAAAGCTGAAAGTCTGATATCTTGATAAACTCCTCAGTCCTGAGCTGACTGGGAAGGCTGGTTTTGTAGGAAGATCCAAATACTTACTAACTAGATTTATAACATAAATGGCACACATAATTAAACCTGACTGAGCTTGTTCAAATTCATTACACTAATTTAAATCAGAGCTCATTGTTTAGTTTAATATAACTTGGGAGGGGTTTTTCCACCCTTTATAAGTGTAGACATTTGTAGCCAAATGGAATGATGCAAATTGAGTTAGAGTGAAGATCTCCTGTTAGGCTAATGGACCAGAGAATTTGATTTTTGTCATTAGCTGTGTGTTCTTGGTACTTTATCGTCTTTGTCCTTTGTTTTTCTCTATATAACAGGAATGATTCTAGTTTTTATCTCATTTTGGGGGCAGGGGATGAACTGAGATACTTCATCCAACACTTGAGACAGTTAACAGTGGTTGACATACACCATTGTAGGATTAATGAATTCGTAGTTAATGGTTCATCTGTAAGTTGACTGAGTCTCCAATAGCAGGAAAACATTGGGATACAGACTTAACAGGTTAGCAAAGAGAAACTGCCCATCTTTCTCCTTTCTCTCTCCACAAAACTGATCACTTTTCACTGGAGGACCATTCCTAAATCTCTTCAAATGTGGGGGAGTACTCAGGTTAGATTGGCAAAGCAAAGTAGGGCCGGCAGTCTGTATAACAGACATTTCTTATAGGAAATGAGATCATGGTGGATAGATTTCCCCCTGCTATTGCTTTAGGTTTTTTTTCTTTCCTTTTCCTTCAACTTCCCATATTTTCTGATATTCTCTCTCAACACTTTCTTGCTTTGAATTTGTATCTCAGATGCCACATTTTTCCACATCTGCCATTCTAAGAGGAAAAGAAATCAATTTTATTTTTATAGAGCACACATCTACATCCTACTTGACAAGCCTCTTATGAAACACTTTTAATTCGAACTCACCAAACTAATTGTGACTCCTTAGGTCACCCTTTAGGTTAATTAACACATAAGTTTAAGGCACATACTTTTACTGGTAGATTTTTCTTTATGAGCATATACTTTTCCATCTTTCCCGGGGATGGACCAAATTATAAGGAACCCTATTATCTCTTGGTTTTCTGGCCATTCATAAAGCCAGTGAATCTTTTCTTTTTCCCAAAGAAACAAGAACAAAAAAAGAAAAACTAATGTTTCCAGGGGCCTGTGTTGTTGGGTTTACCCCATTTCCTAACTCAGGAAGCAAATAACTGTGCACACTGGAAAAACCTGTCCTACTTCAACATGGAAAAAAACCAGGAATTTTCAACTGAGCAAAGGATTACAAACAAGAAGACATGGATTGTAATCTAGCTCTACCACCAACCAACTGGGTAACTTGAAACAAGCCATGGAACCCTTCTGTGGTTTTCAGTTTCTACAGCTCCCAAGTAGAGAAAATAATATCTTATATCTTATCCTGCAAATTAAATGGGATATTTATTGTGAAAACATACTTGCTGCCACCATTCTTACAGAATGGCAAAATAAACTCCTAATGAAGGCCAGAAAAAAAGTAGTTAGCAATAATCACATCTTCATGCAAATCTTAATGCTCATATAATTGTCAACTACCTTAGGTCTGACAAGAGCCCTCATCTTTGGAAACTGGTTAGTTTTAAACCCCTCTCCTACCCAGGTAAGACCAGTTTCCCAGATCCACCCATCCTTTCTAAGAGCTTATGGGGAATTTCTCAACAACTACTGGAATTCCCTTCCATATTCTACTTCCCTATTTCACATCAAACAATTCTATTCAAAGATGATTGGATTTCTTGTTATGTGTCTCAATCTGGGGAAAATGTTCACTCTGAATCTTCTTAAAATGGAAGGAAATTATTTAAATATATTCATTTCCTTGGAAATTAGTCACTCCCAAGAGTAAGTAGAGAAATAAACACATGCAAATTACTTTTAATGATGTAACACTTCCTTCAGATATCTTGCAAAATAGTCTTATGGTAAAAATACCACAGCACTATAGAAGGAATTATTTTTATTATATATGTTACCCAGAAATCAGCTCAATGTAATGTTGCAACTAATGCAATACTCAAATCCAACTGACACCATCAGGTGTTTTTAGTGCTTTCTCTTCTAAGGCTCTGCTTCTTTGCATGGTAGGAATAAACAGTAGTTTCTTCCACCTCCACAGATATCCATCTTCCCACTCAACACTGCTGTATACCAGATATCCACACAGCAATCCCATTCTGCTCCATTGTGATTTCTATTGCACAGTGAAATGTCACTGTATCACCTTGCAAAAACAAGTCAGTTTCCTTAAAGCCATTATCCCATCTCGTCCCTCAAAAATGCTACCAGAGGATTCAGAACCACCCTCCAACATAGACGATGCTCCAGAATATCAAAATGAGCAGGCCCGATAAAAGATGTGGCACACAGGTGCACCCCAGCAATAGCTAAAACCTACTTTGCATAATTGAAAGTGAGCCCTGAAAGGGAAAGCTAAGAGGAAGGTAGCATATTACTACATCAGTGTTGCCAAATTGCATTTTGAGTAGGACAGGACATTGTGATGTGGGCCTGGCCTGCACATGATAAGATATTTAGCCTCTCTAGCTCTGCCTACTAAGTGCCACTGTGGCAACAATAACATCTTCAAACACTACCCTAGATCCCCAGTGAAAACCATTGCAATGAAGGACATACCATCTTTTCTTAAGCAGATGAAGACTGCAAGTGTGACAAAAAGGAATAGCAAGAAGGATCCCAGCATCACCAAGTGAGTCCTCTTGTCTTCAGAAAGGGCCACAGGTGGTTCTGAAAAATAAAAAGAATTGACTTTATGTATATATAAAAATGCACCTGTAATATCTACATATATATGTGTGTGTATATATATATATATATATATATATATATACAGAGAGAGAGAGAGAGAGAGGTATATTTGCAGTCCTTTATATTTGCAGGGCTTCTTCCTTGCTAGGTAGGTTCTCTAGCACTTAAGCCACTCTGATAGCCCTTTTTGCGTGGTATTTTTGAGATAGGATCTCGTTTTTATTCCTCTGGGACTATGATCCTTTCATCCCTTCCCTCATTGCTGGGATGATAGGCATGAACCACCACACCCAAACATCCATTGAGAATCCATTGAGATGGAGTCTTTCAAACCTTTTGGGGAGCCTTGGATATGGACTTGAACTATGATCTCCGAGTCTCCACCACTCAAGTAGCTAGGATTCTAAGTTTGAGCCACCACGCCCAACTAATGTTTTGTTGGGAACTGGTCAAGAGAATAATCATGCTAGAAGCCTAGTTTGGCCTTAGATTAATTCTCTTAAATACATAAAGTTAATGACCAGTGAGGATATAATTTTGATAAGAAAGTGAGAGCCCTGGAGAAATGGAGGAATCCCAGGCTTTGGGAATCCCAGGTGAAAGTGGCACTGAATTCTGCTGTTCTTACCCAGTTTTGAGACCTCTATGATTTCTTTGGGTGTGTGTGTGTATGTGTGTGTGTGTGTGTGTGTGTGTTTGTGCGTGTTGGTTATGGGGCTTGAACTTAGGGCTTGAGTGCTGTCCCTGAGCTCTTCAGCTCAAGGCAAGCACTCTACCACTTAAGCCACAGCACCATTTCTGGTTTTCTGGTGGTTTATTGGAGATAAGAGTCTCACTGAGTTTCCTTCTCAGGCTGGCTTTGAACCTTGATCCTCAGATCTCAGCCTCCTGAGTAGCTAGGATTATAGGTAAGAGCCACGGGCACCCAGCTTATCTCTAAGATTTCTTTTTTTTGGGGGGGGTGTCCAGTCGTGGGGCCTGAACTCTGGGCCTGGGCGCTGTCCCTCAGCTCTTCAGCTCAAGGCTAGCACTCTACCACTTGAGCCACAGGGCCACTTCCGGCTTTTTCCTTTTTTGCTTATGTGGTGCTGAGGAATCGAACCCAGGGCCTCATGCATGCAAGGCAAACACTCTACCACTGAGCCACCTTCCCAGCCCTCCTCTTGCATTCTTAAAGATAGAACTAAGCCCACGTAGCAAGGGTAGCCCACAGAGGAACAGGGAAAATCAACTTGTTAAGGAACTTCTGTTCCTTACATCTTGGTCCTCATAGGAACCAAGGCTACTTATTTTTCTCCCAGACTGTCTGTGGTTCCACACAGGAGGAAAAGGGGTACCATGACACAAAGACGCCATCTCTTGACATAAGAGCCTCTTCATTATTTTGTAAGCATTTTTTCCTATTTGGTCACAATACAATATATAAAGAAAATTGGTCAACTTTTTAACCCAAATTTTAGTTTTCTCTGTCAGTTTGATTCTGGAGTTTGACTGTCAACATCTATTAGGGGAAGGGAGTGAGAAGTGACCTTAGAACCTTTTGTTGTTGGTGGTCTTGGTGGTGGTGGTGGTAGTGGGGCTTGGACTCGGGGCCTGGGTGCTATCCCTGAGTTTCTTTTGCTCAAAGCTAGTGCTCCATCATTTGAGCCACAGCACCACTTTGAGTTTTCTGGAGATAAGAGTCTCACAGACTTTCCTACCTGGGCTGGCTTTGAACCATTATCCTCATATCTCAGTCACTTGAGTAGGTAGACATGAGCCACTGGCTCCCAGCTTTCAGAACACCTTTGGGTTTACATTAAACAATCCCCCTGCCTGATACCAGCAGCTCACCCTTGTAGTTCTAGCTACTCAGAAGGCTGAAGTCTGAGGATCATGGTTCACCATCAGCCCAAGCAGACAAATCCAGCTTACTCTTATGTCCAAATAACCAGAAATAAAGGTGTGGTTCAAATGGTAGAGTACCAGCTGTCAGCTAAAAAAAACCCAAGGACACCCAGGTTTGTAGTTCAAAGCAGACTGCCCTGAGCTGAAATATTATAGAAGGCATGGGGGGAAACGTATCTCTTCTGTTTGGAATAATATAGAAAACTATATTCTGCTTACTTCCTGCCACAGGAACTCTAGAAAGAAAGAAGCAACTCATGTGCTAGGGGTTTGGGTTCTTGAAACATGGCAGGAGTTGAATATCACTCTTAAATCTCTTCAGCTTCTTCAATTATAGGAGCATTTCCCGCATGCAAACATTCACTTACCTGTTTCTGGAGTGGGAACTGTCCTATTTGTTCATGAATAGCCAATGCCTAATATGCTGCTTGGCAAGTAGAGAATATTCAAAAACCATCTGCTGAATATTTATTATCCAGCACTATGACTTGGGGGTGTGAGAAGAAATAGCATGTATTTAATAAATAGAGTGTTATCCAGTCATTCACTTATCCAACCCTCATCTAATGACTAGGATGAGCAGCCATCATGAGTTCGAGACATTTTGACATATTCAGACTGTTACCTGGGATGATCAATTCAGCTGTATTGTTTTCCCAGGAACCTAATCTCCGAAAAGTACAGTAGAAAATCTCATTGGCTGTAGTGTTGATTCTCAGCGTGCTGGTCACATTAAAAAACTTCTCCTCCCTCTGGGAATGGGTGATATTGGTCTCACCAATCAGGATTCGGTGGTCACTGCTTGTCCAGATGACTTCAGCCTCGGGGTATCCCTCAGCTTGACATGTTAGTTCATGTTTAGAGGTGACTGGATCCATGGAAATTCTCTGGTTGATTTTGTTGTATGGGGCTAGGTCATAAGCAAAGAGAAGTCAGAGATTTCTCCCATGATTACGCTTTCTAACTTGGCTTAGTGTTGCTCTGCGTTAGAAAGCTTCTCAATGCAGGCTGGTTCTCAGAGAAATAACCTTAATGTTCAGCTGCCTCATTAGTGAACTAGTGCCTGTTAGTCTGTCACAACAATTTCTTTCCAAGTTGGGCCAAGTTTGGGCACAGAGGAACAATTGTCTTGCTATAAACATTACAGTGGCATGTTTACTGGTTTAAACAAAATGTACAGATTTAAAGTAAATTGTCATCTTTTGTTCCAAACCAGTGGGTTTTCAATACAAATATAAAATATGCCTATTTACTCAAGTCTTCCTATACTTTGCTATAAAGTGATAGAGATTTTACAGTTTCATTTTAAAAATTTATTCCTGATTATTTTCCTCCCATTGTTGGAAAGCTGTCTTTATAAACCCTTCCAGCTGTCAAGTACCATTTTGACTTTATTGAATAAGTTGAATTTGATGTGTCATTTGCTTTTGCAACTTTAGGTCAATCATAAGTTAGATATGAAAATCTATTCTTTTTCATTTGTAAAAAACCAATGCATGTTCTGAATGATGTTTTCTGAAGTTTAAATACATCTTCAAATTTGACCGCGATTTTGGAGTTACAAAAAGTTACAAAACTTGTATGGCAGCTGTATGCCCCTTACTCATTTTATGTCATTATTTACTTCTTATATTACCACAAGATAGTTCTCATCAGCACAAACACCAGGATGCTACTAACAGCTAAATCCCATAATTTCTGCCATCTTGCCATTCTTTCCCTCATATGCTATTTCTGATCCATTGTAATATTTATTTTATAAATGCTTGTGCTCTCTATATTAATGTCATTTAACTGTTATAAGTAATACAGAAAGTGTGATTCCATTTTAGATAATTATTTTAAGAAGTTTTAGTATTAAAATACCAAGTTCACTGACTATTCTAGTAAACTGTATAGTGTATAGATAGCATAGGATGTTAATTCTTGTTTGCTCATTGCAATGACATTATTGTGTTTTTATTCTATTGGCACAACCGTTCTTTTACTTGTAATACTGAGCCTCTCTGTGCTCAAGGCTAGCACTCTACCACTTGAGCCACATCGCCACTTCTGGATTTTTCTGTGTATGTGGTACTGAGGAATTTAACCTAGGGCTTCATGCATGCTAGGCAAGTACTTTACCACTAAGCCACATTCCCAGCCCTATGATCATTTCTTAAGGGAAGAAGAATGAAAGATGATGTTGTTTCATACAGAGGAACATATATAAATGGAGTACAACTGCAATCCATTCCACAAGAATTATTATATACTACATCAGTCTCTAAAGCAGGGCACATAATGAAGATATATGATGAAAATGTTAGAACTTCTACTTACATGTAGTTTTATCACCAATTGAATAATTTAAGTTTCCTAAGCTTTCCTAAGGTCTCACCTTGTCTGCCACATAGGGATCTTCTGGGAAGAAGGGAATTTTATGTTATTTAAGGGAGGAGTTGACTCACATTGAGTTATTATAGATTTTCAGATTCTCTTGTAGCTAAACTAATCTTATAAAATGAGCTAATTAAAAAGCTTCCTAGTCATAGTTCATGCAAGGAACTTAAGCAAATACAAAGGGATCGACATAATCCCCTGTATC